AAAAATTATCAAAAAATCTGACAGGTTAAACTTTTAATCTTAGCACATGAAATTCTAAAAACACATAAAATGAAACAATAGACACAAACATCCAGTCATTAATATTACAATTTTTAAGTTTGCCATGAGAAAATGGATGTGAAACTGAGAAAACCATCATGACAATTTTTGAAAACGATAATTGTGAACAATTGGACAATATGTCAGTATATAATTTTATAAATTGTAAATTTTTTCAAGAATTGAAAAATTGAAAGAAATAAAAAAAATTAAAAAAAGTACAAAATGTACAAAATTGTCAAATATAACTTACGATTCAATGGAAAAAGGTGAACCATTCAATATACAGTGTATAATCTCAACAACCTGGGAAGAAACAGCAGTCATGTCAGTTACCATGACAACAAATTCATCTAATTTGAATACATACAAATACATGGGTAATCTGGTTAACAATAAAAAGTATTTCACATGCGCTATTTACATTGCATGGGACTCATATCGCCATGATGTTCAGAACACCAAAATAGCAACATTGCCAGCTACATATAAGTTGCTGACTGCTGGTTTGCTATGTGATTAATTGTGATTAGAACTGGATAAGTCAAACAGTTTTTATGAGGGTGTACTGTTTTGTCTAAATGCATGCACATTTATGGAGCATTAATTATCACGGAATGTGTCCTAACATTTCAGACTGTGTCAGTACATATATATATTTTTTTGGATAACTTCACCAGTAATTGCAAAATGATCTTTTTTATTCATATTCATCGTGTCTTGAAGCCCCCCCCCCCCACACACACACAAATATTAGCTAAACATCTCCTGTTGAAGTTCCTTTGACCCATCTTGTTCTAATTTTGGGATTTTTTTTTACAAATTCTGTGAGTTATGGACCAAACAATAAATTAAGATTTTGAACATGATTTGAAAAAACAAAACAAAGTATATAAAAGTAATTTATTAAAATGGAAATACATAACATTTGAGGTCAGAGATCAAGGGTCATAATAGACTGCATACTTACCACTAACGTAATTGTAACTGCAGCATCAAAGAGATTACTTTTACTAGATATATACCGTCGCCATCCCAACGCCCATACTTTCACTGTCTAGAAAAATCACAAATCAGAGATGCAAGAAAGTGTTCCCACGTGAAGTGAATTCAATAATCTATAAAGTTTACTGAGCATATTTAACATACAACCATTTTCCGCCTGAGCATTGCTTGTGATGCTCTATAGAATAATTCAAAACAAAATAAAGATATGTGTATTAAATTACATCCAAATCCACACAGTAGTTCTTGAGATATTGATGCAACAATATTTGACACATCCATCAACACATATAGACATTGGTATGACACTTGGCTACCTTTGTGCTTTTCACAAGAGACACAAATTCCAAAAATATTCAGTAAAGCATCATTCTGCTATTGAAATCTTGACATAGTCGGCATAATTGTGTTACTATGCTTTAGCTGCTGAATTCACTTTGACAGTCGGCATGAGTTACTGTGCCATGCTGATTGATTTAATAAAATCTATTGACGACAACATAGCTATGTCAGGCAGGTAAAATGTTAGTCTGAAGATCAAGACAAATCTTGACAGAAAGACATCTCTTAGAAATTTAATTATTCGGAAAACTATCATATCAGATAATTTTTTATTCATTGTAAGATCCTGCATAATGAATGAAACTTTTTTACTACCAGACTTTCTTGTCAAAATTTGTCTTCACTTTTTTTTGTATTCTCCAATATTTCTGGAAATGACCGCTAATTTTGGAGACAACAGACAAAATTCGAGTAAATTTTCAGTTTTTACTCAAAAATATTTGGCTATTTTTATCCCAATCTTCTGACAGAAAGTGCAGACTATAAACAGGATTATTTTGTGAATTTGTGATAAAAAGAGGGAACTGGTGGTGAAAAGGTTGAAACGAGTATCTTAAAGCAGGGGAGTTGTCACCTGCATGTACACCAGATGGGCATAGCATATCATTGTTTACTAACAAGCATTTATGCACGAGTCTTTGCGTTTTTAGCATGGGTTGTTATCATTGCTTGGGACTCAATTCCCGCGCGTGCATAGGTGACGACCCTCCCGCTTTAAGATATATAAAAAATGTTATTAAATGTGTATAGCCTGTTATTAGCATACTTTTTTGATTATCAAATGCCACGCGATATTTTGATGCATTTATGCTATATTTGTCTGTCCTGCGTTTACATTTGATTTTACCAAATATGCCGGATCTCACAGTAATAAGTGATAACTTAAAACTGTGATGACAAAGTCAATCAGATACAAATCAAATCAAATAAATTCAATCTTAATACAATGATGATTTGGGAAATAAAAAAAAAAACCCACATGATTGCCACTTACTTGTTCAATTACATAATACCACACAAACACAAAATTGGTGACAGCTAAATTAGATGCACTGTAATTAAGTTTTTTCTCATACTGTACTCCAAGTTCTACCTGCAAACACAGTAAAACACAATATTGCTGTAACAGTAATTGGGTTAATTAATAACTTATATGCATATAAGTATTTCTACTCCTAAAACATATTTGAAATTCCAAATTGAATAATAATATTCCCATATATTATCATCTTTTGATAAATGAAGCTCTATGTATATATTTGTGGTATACTCCTAAGTTTAGATTGGATCAGATTGTTCTTTAAGTGTCACTGTCATCACATCGCATAGTGCTGTTGTGGGTCCCACAAGACATATTAAATATGTGTTAATAGTAAAAAAAAATTAACGTTCTTGACTTTGACTACGATACTTTACTACTACTAATAGATCTTATTATTATACATCTGTCACGGTAACGCCATAAGTTACAGCGTGCTGTAATTTTGCAGTATTTTCATTCTACTATATACTACTACTGCACACTTTGAGGTATTCTCGTAATAACTTCATGTTATCCAATGGCCGCCAAGACCTTGTTAAGAGCGACTTATTTTACCCTAAAATAGTGCTCCATTTTCTACCGTTATCGCATCCACTGCTCACCTGGCCTATATGTTACCATGGTATCTGGAACAGTGGATGCGATGGCGACAGAGATTGGAACACTATAAATACTCACCAAATACTTCTACAGTTCTGATAAGGGCAGATGTATACAGTTTCTGGTTGTAAGGTAAAAAGTTGGGAATTGACAACCCTTAATTTTATACGCCCTTAATTCTACTTACTGTTATGCATATCACGTTTGCCAATGCCACTAAATTACCGAAATAATTGAAATATTGATGAGCAATACAGTACTGTATTTTACGAAGAAAACCATTTTCTATGTATCTTATTTCTGGCTTCTGAAAAAAACAAAAACATGAAGAAATCAGTTTACAAGAAAATGCAAATATTTGTTTTCGGGGTATATCACTATTAAGGCCAAAGAAAAAGTTTCTGATTTTTTAAAAATTTACTCATACAGGAGGTTTATTATTTTTATTCTGAAAACATGATTTTCATTTTTAAATTCAGATTAATAAAAAATGTTACATGTGTTTTCTGCCAATGATCACATCGCCTAGAGTTTCACAACTACATGTATAGAGGTATTAAGAGCCATGAAATAAAATAATTATGCAATTGTAGAAACAGTACAGCATACAACAGAAGTACATGTACCTACCCTTTTCCATGTGGTGTCTTTATTCAATTGATCAAACACTTCTTGAAATTGTGCCGTGTTCAACGTTCCACCAATGTCTGTATCTAATTCCTGTGATATATTGAAAGATATATATTAGCAACTTATACTACTTTCATAGTTACAAGTAACTTTAAGCCATTTATTTATTAATTGAAAAAAAATTACTAAAAAAAATAACTATTACCGTAAAAAAATACTAATAAAACATAAACTAAACAAATGAGCAAAAAAAACAAACAAACAAACAAATAAATAAATAATTTTTGAAACAAATGGACATGGTTTTCTATTGGCAAATTGTTTTTTTAAAAAAAAAAGTTGTAGGTTTAATTTTGTGAATAGTGCCAAAGGTTGACTTTGGTGCACAATGGTTAAAATAAACAATCTACACAATTAACAAACTGCCAACAAAAATTTAATACTGTAAAAGGGTTAAATATTCACTTTAATTTAGCTTATTTCGCTGACTGGAAAATGTGCTAAATTAAAACCCAGTGACTATGTAAAATTTAGCATAGAACACATTATCTAAATGATAAAACCGTGAATTTAAAACCCAGTGAATATGTCTGAAATGGTAAATCTGCGTAAGATCAAATTAATATACTCTAGTCAGCAAAGATATGTTTATTACTAATATGCTTAATATAAAATTGATAAACTATTTACAATTGCAAATGAATTGGTCAGGCTAGCGAGGTAGGCATCTCCCTACATTCTGTGAAGTGATCAGGTATAAATCTAAAACAGCAGAACAGCTGACGTCACTGCAAATGTCTTTACAATATGCAACTGCTTTTCAATTTTACAATTATTTATATAATTATATAATTGAACGTCATACCCTACAAGCAATACATTTATGTATTAAGTAAACAAAAATAATTTGAAAATAAATTGACTGATTTCGCACCTACATGTACTTTTTAACATTTGGAAAAAAAACAGAAGATAGATTATTTGTGAAACAATGTGACTGCATGTACATGTATTTTAAAGTAGTATAAAAGTAATGTTATCTGTGAACAGTTATTTACTAAGTGGTCTGGGAGTTCTTATCGTAAGGCATACCACTTAAGAAGCAAGCTAAAAGGACATCAACAATTAAAGTATTACCATGGATACAATATGGATGCACCGTTTAATTCTATGTTGAAAGTAATTTAAATGCAAATCTCTATTCATCAGGCCGTAATCAATGACCTATTCATTTAGAATGGAAATCAGATCTTTAACTGGACGTTCAACTACAATGGGTTCATCTCAGTAATGGGGGCATATGGTATTTCCATTAAATGGTGCAGTCCATTTAAGAGATAACAGTTACAGAGGGAAGCCAGACACCACACCCTGGTATCTTTCAGTCACGACACAGTCACCCCAGCAGGCAACAGCCATGCATTTTCACATAATTTTCGCTCTTGTCTTATTTTCACGTAGCTATGAAATCGTGGACGGGCAAGAAGTGTGTCAAGAATTCTACGACATGTGCATCGACGGCAACTATTGCACATACATGTTCGTTACTCCGAATGCAGACTACTTGGACGATTGTCCCGAATTCAGCGTGGTTAAATCCGACTTGGACGACATGACAAAGTACATGCAGAAACAAGAAAAGATGATACAAGAAATGTCGATTGAACTTGAAGAGTTGAAACTCTCGAAAACTGATCAATATGAAGAACGGCGAGATATGAAACAACAGATGTGGGATCAGGTGGATGACTTGGATCGACATTGGCAGTGGATACAGAGACAGCAAAAACAAATCGACAATCAGAATGAGCTGATCAACGAGTGGCAGTCACAAATTGAAGATATGTGGATCCAAGTCGAGGAGCAAAACTGGGTACAACGACTGCAATACGAATTGCAGCAGCAGCAGTACCAGATAGAACTACACCAGGAGCTCATCGAGGCACAGCAGGACAGTATGGAGAGACAGCAGCGTGACTGGGAAGACAGCCACGGAGTAATCTGGGAACAAATGCAGGACTGGATACTGGATCATCAGAATAGTCTGATAGAGTCGCTGAAATTAGCGCAATCACAAGACTCCAGCAGTGAGCTCGTACATCAGCAATGGGAATCAATTGGGCAGCTAGAGGACGATAACTATCAACAACAAATCCTACTGGAGGATTACCAACATCAACTGACGTGTCTTGAAGATATGACAAGACAGATAGCACGAGAGATAGAAACAGACCAAGAACAAAACTCTGGTGAGTGCTATTTACTTCTAGTGCATCAAAAAAACTTTTCCTAGTATTAAATGTGTTGACAGTATTTTTTTTTTTGTGCCATAAGCAAGCTATTTGGCCACGGGTTAAATTAATACTTGTCAAGATTGTACAAGCACAAGTTATGTTTATTGTTGGTTTTCTAAATACAGTTTGGTAGAATAAATCACATGTAGTATTATTTAGTTCAGCTCATCAATTGTTACATATTATATTCAGAATTTGATTTTATAATTTTGCATATGACGTAATGTTGTTGGTATTATTTTTTGTGGTTTCATAATCAGACTAATCAAACCCAAAACTTAGAATGGTGATGAGTAAATTCCGGATTTATTATGCTTACTATCTATCTGTAGGTCACAAAGAATATCAATAAGTATACAATTGTCTTTAATATATATACGAATATATTTTAATGTTTCCAAAGTACTTGGCTCATAAATAATATTCTGAAAATTGAAAATAAATTTTTATTTTTGTTGTTACAAATCAATGTATACACACAGATGTACATCAATTTGGATTATAAATATTATAGGACCAGTTTTTTAAATTTTGAGTAAATTGAAGAGAAGGAGATGCAAGTAAATTCTGGTTGTCAAAAATTAATTAGCGATTTGTAATTTATCATTTTGGTAATTGCTCATTATTTATTGAACCTGTCACCTGAAACTGTGTGTCAAATTACAATAGGAAACCGGACTGGAAATGAACGGGCATGTGAACTTTAAACGTAAAAACAAGACACATACCTGAAATGTACATGTAGATTCATGTCTAACCATAATAGTTTGTATATTCTGCAATTGCTTGTAAGCCTCTAATATATTATAATTCACTATGGTCATGATTGAACAGCGCCATCTATGGCACTGTTTGTTTTTAACTTTGTTTTCTAGAATAGTGAGCCATGACAGTCATGCCCTACCGTTCAACTTAAATACAAGTTTGGTAAAAAAATATGAAAAAATGAAATACATTCATTTTTAAGATTTAAAACAGGGATATGCATCATGTAAATTATTGACACTATTAAAAAACAAAAATTAATAAATTCAGATCATTAATATTCACCACAATTTATATTTTTATTCCATTATTTACATATTTTCTCTTTTTTTTTGTATGATCATTTTGGTTGCCATGCATTCAGATGAACCAGTTAGCAGAGTAACAGCGCATTGTACGAGCCGGAGGTTCTCCGGATATTTCCACAATATCCAGAAGATAACAACATTAAATGAGACTGTCAACTCACCACCACGTGATGTCGCTGCATTCAACATTTATCAGAAGCTATACGTAGCATATACGTACGGAAAACGTTGTGAAATTTACATCTACAATGACAACGGGACGTTCTCACTGCATCAGCAAATCGAGTTTGATTATCAGGATCAATACGAATATTTAAACCACTTCATGGAGCAATTTCAAATACAGGGCACTCAATACATGATTATCGGACACGCTTCGAAATTTGGACATGTTGTATATCAATTTGTGAACCGCAAGTTTGTGGAAATTCAAATTATTGAGACCCCTCAGCAGCAGTTGAAGGACTGGGAGTTCTTTGCCATCAGCAACGACGAAATGGAGTACTATTTAGCTGCAGCAATCAACCGAGAAATGTTGAACGTGGAAAAAGTTTTTAGTTCCGTGACTAACAGTACGATCTACAAATGGGATCATTATGGGAAACGATTTCAGCATTTTCAAAATATCAAAACGACCGGTGCTCGGACTGTCCTGGCATATAATCTGGCTGATCAGAATTATCTGGCTTATGGATCAAGTTATTTACTCGAATCATCTAATCCGTATAATCTTCACGTACAGATTTTCCGATTTGAGGAATCCAACAAATTTGAATTTTCTCAAACTTTGCCGATTCCAGGCTGGACTACTGATATCGTTAGTTTCCGTGACGATGGTGATTTCTACTTACTTGATGTTAAGTTTATGAGCGTTAACGGCACGTATAATACAGCATCCCCCATATACAAATGGGACGAAAGAATGAAAAAGTTTATTATCCACCAGAAAATCAAAACGCAAGGTGCTACCATGGCATGTCCGTTTATACTTAATGACAACCGTTACATAGCGATCGTTAATGCCTGGGAGGACGAGAACCACGAAAGTTATACACCAATCGAAGGCAGAAACACTATGATTCATAAGAGAAATGAACAGGGTCTTTTCGTTCCTTGGCAGGTCTTGGACGTCAATTACGCAACTACATGCGAAGCATTTAAAGCAAAGGGAAAAGCAAGTTTGATGATCAGGAAAAATTTATTCCAGTATCTTCCTTGATCTGTCTCATCGTCGAATAATATTAATTCTATTTTGTGTTTTTTTCGTAGGAACACAAAATATATCTGAAATATATATATTTGGAGTGTAGTAACGATTTGCTCGTTCAGTAGCACATATGCTTATAAGTAAATGGCACGTGTATTTTCGCTCAAAATAAGTAGACTGTATTTTAGTGACACTACCGGTATATAAATAAAAGCAGTAAATTGTGAAATGTTTTTTAGCGATGTGTTCAAATAGAGCAAATACGGTATTAAAATATAATTTAATTAATAATTGTTAAATATTCTGCAATTTTTTTCATCTGTGGTACAAATGGTAAGATTAAAGCAGGAGGGTGGTCACCTGCGCACGCACCGGAATTGAGTCGCAGCCAACGATAACAACACATGCTAAAACGCAAAGGCTCATGGGTAGACGCTTTTTTGTAAACAATGACACGCTATGGCCATCTGCGGCATGCGCAGGTGACGACTCCCCTCGCTTAAAAAAAAAGGTGAATGAACACACACCAGGCACCAACAACACAATATTTTATTTGTCAATTTGTTTTTCGTTGCTAGATAGTTTAATAACATTGTAATCAATATATTGATCATGCATTTTGAAAACTAGTGGGAGGGGAATGATATTTCAATAGAAAAATAAAATTGTTTCATTTACAATAGGATTTCAGCATTTTATTATGAGACTAATTTGAATCAAAATATATTTAAATGACTACAGTGCATTTATTCTAACTATTACATGTACTAGCATATTAACAGTGAATAATTTAGCAACTATGAGTTTACAATTTTTTTCTCAGTACTTATTCAATGTTATAATGCTGTACCATTACTTTCACCATCCTAGTACAGCCTGATCCGTAGGCCTTTGGTGCATTCTAGCCACGCTGTGTGGCGTGATCGCGTGGACAGGTTTCATGTTCTCTGCACGTAATAAGCTCGGTTATTAAGCATCCTTTTTGGGGGATGCCCGGTGGCCGTGGGAAGATTTGTAGTGATGTGAAGCTAGGCGATTAAGTGCCATACGCGAGCGCCGGTTCGAGTCACGCACGCCGTTTATTCGGTGTTATTTGCATACTAGCATATTAGTAGTGCATACATTCACGTATATTACAGAGGTGTGTCTATGTTCACATCGAGTCATATTTTACTGATTTTACAATAAATGCAATTGATAGTTAATTCATTTATGAGCTTTGAATGATTCAGAAGTGAAATATGGTACACCTTTTAGTGAAAAAAACAAACATCCACATAAGTGACTTTCGCTTACCCTTATAATTGTTTTTTTGCATGTTTTTCTCATTTTGACGTGCATCACAACGTTTCGCGTAACATTCACAGGAACGGTTCCCCTGTAAGGAATAAAATAACGGGCAAGGAATAAATACATAATGCATATACACTGACATAGATCCTGTAGACACACCTCAAGTAAATTAAAGAAAGGAAGGACATCCTTTGATATAGTTACGAAGCACTTATAATATACTATAAAATGGTTTAATTATTCACTGGGTTTTAATTTTGCTGACTAGAAAATGCACTAAATTAAAACCCAGTGAATATGTAAAATTGAGCATAGAACACATTATGTAAACGATCAAACTGTGAATTTAAAACCCCCTGAATAAACCTGAAATGGTAGATCAGTGAAATTTATACCCAGTGAAAATTAGTCATTTTACAGTAGTTTACAATAGGATGAAAGTACACCATTAATGAGATCATAAAACAAATGCACATACATATTTGTGACATGATGTACCTTGTGTGTGTGAAGTTTGAACTCGATCAATCCAGACATGTCTCAGATATGGACCCAGAACTGAATTCTTTAAAACAAAATGGCCGCCATTTGAATCATGGATGTTGAATCATGGCATGGTTGCAGATTACTTATTATGGATGTTGAATCATAGCATGATTGCAGATTCATTATTATGGATGTTGAGAATGGTATATTATGCATTTTGCCGCAGAAAACATTTTACACATATGGGAAGACATACCAGGGATGTGCATAACATATTTACATATTTTTGAACATATTCCCACAATTTTGTTCAATTGTTTACTAATTTTCATGTTTTTGGACATTAGTCACATACATATCTTGTTGGCATACAAATAATAAAATGCCATTTAGGAAAAAACAAAAGGTTTTGCTTGCCCTTATGTTAGTTAATTGGAACCCTGCGCTTTGTACATTTTTCTCCAATTCTGCATACCAGTGAAGTGTTACCACATATGGTAAAATGGGAAGGGAAATGTTAACTGCGTATGCTGAGGACATGTTCACTGTTTCAGTTGATGCTTTCGTTGATCCAATTCAATTTAGCATTATTAGAATTCAAATTCAAATAACAGGCAAGAAGGACGACAACAAAATTATATTTACCGTCTCCCGGGATTGTAACTCCTAGAGCATCCAGATTTTAGAACTTCAAAAGCTGCTCTGATGGCAAGCCGTCGCCTAAAATAACTGGCTTGCATGGAACTCTGTGTTCAGAAATTATAACAAAACATGACTTATTTCAAAACATGAATTAATTCAAAACATGACTTATTCAAAACATGACTTATTTTAAAACATGAATTATTGCAGTTATTTCAAAACATGAATTATTTCAAAACATGAATTATTTGAAAACACGAATTATTACAAAACATGAATTAATTCAAAACATGAGTTATTTCAAAACATGAATTAATTCAAAGCTTGAATTATTTCAAAACATGAATTATTTCAAAACATTTATTATTGCAAAACACGAATTATTTCAAAACATGAATTATTGCGAAACATGAATTATTGCGAAACATGAATTATTGCAAAACACGAATTATTTCAAAACACAAATTATTTCAAAACATGAACTATTGCAAAACACGAATTATTTCAAAAAATAAATAAATTCAAAACATGAATTATTTCAAAACATGAATTATTTCAAAAAATAAATAAATTCATGTGTTAATTATTCTGCATAAATACAGAAGATTTTTCAAAATCTTACCAATAAATAGCCTCGGAATTGATTATATATAACTGCTGTTAACATATTTAAGAAGAAATACATGCCTGGAAAAAGAAAATTAATAATTATATAAAAAAGGATTTAGAAGTTAAAATTATAGTGGTTTCTTCTGTATAACAACTGCATTTTACCTCTGTGTTAAACAGGAAAACAATAGTTGAATTTTTGTTGTTGAGATGTTTACATCAATGTCAATATTTCTCATCTTTCACAAAATAAACCTGCAAAATATTTTTCTTTATTTTCAAAATATTGATCAAGCTGGTGGAAAATTATATTCATTTTGCTCAAAATTAAAAAAAGAATTCACAGAAAAATAAATCCAAAATGTGCAAATTTTGGTGGCGGAAATGATGGCATTTATATTGTTAACCGTGATACAGTTGTAGAGTTACAGTTGCTTGAAAATGCACAGATTTTTTTTGTTAATTAAGTGCACAGACTTCTCTTACGTATGTATAGTATGCATTATGCCATATTTTGATTTTGATTTTTTTTTTTTGCATCATTTCGTAAAAAAAAAATAAAACAAACAATTTGGTTGGTTTTTGCAGAGGTTTTTGGGAGGTCAGATTGTAGGGTAGGTCTGACCTGACTTGCACCTATGCAGAGATGCAAAGTCATCTTTTGATTCATGCCATTTTGCTGAAACTGACCATGGCCTACGAACCCATGCATGATCTGTCTGATCTGTTAAGAACAGTATTTGATCTCAGTTAAATTTATTGATTTGAATGGGCGGGCTAGGAAGCTGTATTCATTAAACAGCGCATCTGTGTCTATAACTTCAAATTTCAAATTCAAACCAATAGATTCGCCGGCTGAATGGCATCAAACCTTACTAACGCCTGACAGAATAGTGTATGTCTCGTCGGAAAGATGAATACTGCGAATTCGCAAAGTTCACGCCTTCTTGCAATGAATATTCATTTTGGTGGTCATGGTAACACAGTCAATCAAAACCGTGTTTGCATTGTCTGCAAAAATCACAGACTGTTTTCAACATTGAAGATGATAAACATTGGGAGGAAATAAACTCTGCTGTGAATGGTTACTCTTTGATGGCTGTCACTATCTGACATTCCTGCAATTTGATTGGTACCGACAAAAAGTCGTGAAAAACTACATCATTCTGTCAGGCATGTATTGGGTTTGGAGCACCATGGAAGATGAAACTCATACAACCTCATCATACTTGAGCATGCAGAAGTGTGTTTCATTTCATCAAAACTGAATGCAGGTTTTTAGTAAGAATTCTGACAAATACCGGCAGTTATAATGGTGAGGAGACAGTCACAAATAAATGAACATTGGCTGACGTAAGATCCATTACTGGATTAAAATTCATATGTTTTCAGAGAAACTAGATAACAATAATATAATCCTAATAGACCCCTTTCTTAATAAATTGGAGATAAAACTTACCAATGACAAGGAATATGATAAAATAAAGAGAATAAAATCTGTTATACGTATAGGCAGGAATCATCACTGTAAGATACAAGGGTAAATTTAATATGTTATTTTTTTTAAAACGATTGGTACAAAATACAAATTACCCTGAAGCCTATCTTGGCAGAAGAAGTGATGATAAGGTTTACATGGTTTGGAGCCATTCATGCATTTGACCCATAACAAGTGTTTTTCAACCTAACTGTGCATGGTGTCAAAGGTCACACATCCTGGAAATTATCTGACCTTTCAAGGTCACTCGACAATATGCTGAATATAAATGAATGGGCAATGGAAGTTGGGCTGTAGGCTTTCAAATTTCAAGTTAACAAACAATGTATTTTTAGCGTCATATGGGACCCACATCTATTCACAATGCATCATGAAGGACCACCACTCTCATCACAAAGTTATTCCACCAATAATTGCCAAGATCTGTGGATTTCATGGAGTGGGTGCATAATGTAATTTTTCAAAATTTGTAACAAATTTAATTGAATGGAGATCTTTTAAAAAATATACTAACCGTCTGGGTTGTTGGCGGTTGTTAATAAAACTAACAAACTCATAAACGACACCATTAAACTGGAAAATTGCTTCAGTCCTTCTTCCTCAATTTTTTCACGATGCTGTAAGAAAAGAAATGGTGAGT